GAGTCGGATCCGACTCAGAGACCCCTCTTTGGGTTTCCAAGGCAATATCACTGTGGAAGTAGATTGCCTGATCTTCCTTCCAAGGAGTGGCTGATGGGTTTGAATTGCCAGCCTTCATAGAAAGTACACTACATACTAAGGCAAACATTTGACTAACCAATGTTATATGTGAACATACTTAACTGTTCCAACTTACATACAAATTTGACTTAAAGACAGATTTAGGAACAGAACTTGTTTGTAATCCAGGGACTGCCTGTGTTTAAAGTTGAGAAACAAGTGTTCCTTCCTATTATGAAAACTAATCCTGTTGTCTTAGGTAGAAGGAAGAAGTAGCTAACCCGAAGGAATGCTACACCAAACTCTTTAAAACAGGGCTTTAAAAAAATAGTGGTATGTATACGTATATATTTGGAAGAAAGATGGGGCAATCTACTTCCATAGTGATACTGTCTCAGAAACCCAAGGAGGGGTCGCTATGAGTCGGGTCCGACTCAATGACACATAACAACAACAACGTGTGTGTGTGTGTGTGTGTGTGTATTATATATAACTTATTTATGTGATTATTAATTCTCAGTTTGCTTTAAAAGGATAGCATATAAACTCTTTTCTTTTGAATATGTTTCCAGAGACCAGTTTGTAGTAAGGTTTTAGAAGTAGAAGGGCTTGTTTTAAACTGTTTCCTATTCAAGAACAGCCCTAGTGTTTCTGTGCAACAAAGAAAGCTCTAACTTTTAGGGGACCTTTTGAAAGGAAAAGGGCTGAGAGCAAACCGAAAGTGACTTGAGTTCACTGCCACTTGCCCTTCTGCTCGTTGCCTGTGTCTGTGCTGTCTGGGAATGCTCGTAATGTCTTAGCACAAACATGCAGCTGAGTCTTGTTTAGCAGCTTGAACGACTGTGTTACTACAGAAAGTTTATGATCAGGATTCTAAGGAAAAACCCTAAAGTTGATAGCTTTCTTACCACTCTGATTAGGATACATTAAGGAGCTTTAGACAAGCCTTTAAACATCTGTGTATATTCATCTGCTGAAAGGGAGACTAATTACTTTTAAAATCATATTTATTAGTTGGTACGTCTTTTAATACAGAAAAGTTTGTAAAGAAAGTTGTTGTTACGTGCCGTCGAGTCAGACCCAACTGATAGCGACCCTTCCTTGGATTTCCAAGGTGGTAATCACTATGGAAGTAGATTGCCCAGCCTTCCTTCTGAGGAGTGGCTGGTGGGTTTGAACCACCAACCTTCTGGTTAGCAGTCAGGTGCCTTAGGCACTATGCTACCGGAGCTCCTATGAAGAAATATGCCCCATAATTTCATTGGTTTCCCCTAAAAAGGAGGAAAATATGCATATAGTTAAAAAAAAATTGAAAGCATGGAAAGAATATAACATCATACAAGAACTTTCTCCCATCCTCTCGACCCAGATCCTCTCCTCAGAAGAATCTGTTAGTAATAGTTTCCTGTGTATCCTTTAAGGAAAAAAATAGGATGTATATATCAGTAAATATATGTGTATTTTTTCTTACTTACACTAAAGGGATCATTTTCTAAATAGTTGTATTCTTTGCTTTTGTCACAAAATAGAACCTCCTCGATTTCCCATGAGGGTCTTTTCAACTCGATGGCTATCTCTTCCTCTTGTGTTTTCTGTGGTTGTTGGAAAACTTACCTAAGTGCAAAATAGCAGAAATAGATAAAAGCTATTATTCCTACAATGATAACAGCCCCCATTGAAGATGTGGCTGTCCTTTTCCTTCTGGATGACAGAATAAAAGTTACCAAATTTCCTCTTCCCCTCTTCATTCATTCATTCATTCCCCAATGCCATTAATTTGCCCAATTGCATAGACTCAGTGACAGACAGTGTTACTATATTTCTGCCAGTAGGTGGCCACGTGCTCAAAAGTAAGAGGTAATATCTCTGCGTGAGCATCTGGCTTGTTGTTTTTCATTGCTCCATACCAAAATTTACCTAACTGGTCTCTTGTTCATGCATTTAGGTGCGACAGTGATTTTAAGATCACATTTACAAATTAAACGAACAAGTCCTTAAGAGAACGAGTCACAGAAGTGATGAGGGAATTATCCAATTAATATTGATGAAGATTGCAGAGTAGTTAACTATGAAGATGGATTAGTTTTATAGCATGAGGTACTGCTAAACTCCTACCTCTCCCAAAATTGGAGGGCTGCCCAAAATGTGTGCTGCTGCAGTTTTCACTCCTCAACCATTGGGCCACCCTGGGCAGATTTGAGTCACAATTCCTTCTTTGCTTCCATGGCACTTTGTATATCCCTTCATTAAAACAGTGACCTGGTTTACAGTCGTTATAGTCTGCATGTCTATCTGTCCTTAAGGAAAGGAAGTGCATCTTGTCATCTCTCTGTAGCCCCTACATCTAGGGGTAGGAAGAGTGGTCTCAGCAGGATAGCTTGCTAAGAGTCAGTACCTTCATCAACTGTCTTTAGCAACTTCTTTGAGTGAAACTTCCTGTGGTAGTTAAGGTTGTAGTCACCCTGGCTGGGCCTGGTTGAGTGGCTGGGCAGCTGGATGGAGTTATTCCCCACAATGAGATTGATAACTAACTCCATGGTGGAATCTACTGGAGCAGCTGAGTGACTGCTTTAGGGATGTGGCTGCTTCCAGTGTATAAGAAACAACTTTGAGGAAGATCTCCAGCTGATGGCATGCTTGAACCCTGCATGTAGCCGAGTCGTTGTTCAGCAGCCTGCCATGTTGCCCTGCTAATCTTGGGACTTTTAAATGGACTTGAAGTAATGAACTGCCATGTGGTTTGATAATATCGGAACTGTGCCTTTTCACTTATCAACCTTGGGCTTGTTACCCTCAGCAGCCAGCAGCTGCCTGAGTAAAGAGACTCTAGCTTCAGTGGGCTGGGAGCAAGAGGCAGAGCTGAAGCCCAAGGTTGAGGGGCTTTCATCCAGCCCCTAGAGCCTGGCACTTTGAACTCAGACCTAAACCCTCAAAATTGTAAGAGAATAAACTCCTGTTTGTTAAAGTCATCCTATATGTGGTATTTTCCTGTCAGAGTGGCTCTAGGTAACCAAAACATATCCTTTCCACTTTGTCTTTAAATGGAGGTGGTATCAGTGCCTTTCTGCATTAAGCTTCGTATAGCAAAGCTTGCTCTAGATCCAAGCCCTTTCTGAGTTGTAAAGCTGTTTATTTAGCAGATACCAAAGAACCAAAGCAGAAACTCCCAACTCTCTCACTGGGGCTCTTTTCAACTTGGTGGCCATCTCCCCACTCCTAGCTGCCATAATTCACCCAGTTGCCTAGACTCGATGACAGACAGTGGTGCTAAATATAATTCTGCCATTAGGTGGCTGTGTGTTCATAGTAGGAGATAATCTCCTTACAGTTTGTGGTAATACATCTTTTACATTCAATTTTTCTTATTAAGCAAAACAGAACACCCTTATTCAACGTGATAATTGAGGCTGTTGTCACAAAATAGCTATTTTGGAGACAGGAGAGAAGGCTGTTAAAGGAATTAACTTGATAGGTATCTTTATCTCTTTTAATTTTTCTTCTTTGCCCTTGATTTAAGGCTGTCACACCTTGATAGGGCATTTTAGAAAAATGCTGAAGCTATCCTTCAATTATTTGCCCAGTCCTCTATCTGTCTTCCCTGATTCAGACTCTGACGATAAACCAGTAGATTTGGTAAGGATTTCCTTAAGCATTACATTCAAGCCTGTCAAATATTTGGAAGGTTCAAAGATATGTTTGCACATAAAAGCACCTTACGTTTGCATAATTTGCATGTTCATCTTAGATTTTAACTCAGAAATTTCCCATGAATAGACTTTTAACATGTTTTTTCTCTGTTTTGGAACTTTGCATTTATTTTTTTAATTTCTTGTTTATCGGCATTAGCTAGCTCCCCTTTGTCAAAATATTTACAAGGACCATACAGAATTAGAATGCGGGTTGAGTCACAGTAAAAGAACATGGACTAACCTAGGCTTTTAACAAAGCCCACATTTTGGTGGCTTCAAACAACAAAGGTTTGTTTCTTGCCTACATTAGGTGTGTTAGTGCTTCAGCTGGAGGCTCGGCTTCATGTTTTCCTTATTCCAGGGCTCAGGCTGAAGGAGCGAGCCTTTGTACATTACCTGTCAGAAGGAAGGAAAGAATCACAGGCTCTTACAGCTTCTGCCTGGAAGTGACACACTTTATTTCTGCTCCCATTTTTTGGCCAAAGCAAATCATGTGGCTGTATCTGACTCAGGGGCAGGGAAGTACAGTTTTACCACATGCTCAGAAGGAGAGCCAGAAGATCTTGGTGAACAGTACAGATGACTTCCATGGCTTCTTAGGTCTTTACAGGCAGAGTTACAGTACTTCTTGGCATTCAGTAAGTGTTGATGGGAAGCTGTGAAACATGGTGCCTAAGAATACAGACAGATAGGATCAGACTTGCTGAGCTTAAATACCAGCTCTGTCACTTACTAATTATCTAATTTTGATCAAGCAACTTAACCTTTCTTACCTTTAATTTCCTCATCTTGCACAGTTATTGGGAGGGTTAAATGAGATCATCTTTGTAAAGCAGCACCTTTTATATAGTGAGTGCTCAATAAATCCTAGCTGTTATTAGAACTTATTAATCTGAATTATTTAAAAATTATTGCTTAATGATTTTTCTCCCTTACTTACTTTAGAGCACACAAGAACAAGATCTTTTTATTTCTTTTCTTTTTTAAAAAAAAATACATATCCATCCCACCAAAGCCAGAAAAAAGAAAAGAGATAAAAAAAAAATCTAGGAGTTGTACTCTGTGTACTATCTGGCTGGGTCTATTTTACTGCAGTCATTGAAGACTCATATTTTAGAAATTTTTTTTTGCTTTTATTTACTTTTTTTTTTTTTGCTTTTACTTACTTTTAAGAGTAGAAAATTTTGGATATGCCTGTTAATTCCTGGTACCTACCAGTTGGCTTAGTGGTTTTCTTCTCTTTCACTCTAGCTCAGAGTCAAGATCTCCACTGAAGTTGGCATTACAAATGTTGATCTCTCCACTGTGGATAAGGACCAGAGCATTGCACCTAAAACCACCCGGTAGGTAGATGGGCACCGTCTCCCAAGCTGGAGAAACACTCCGAGCCACTGAACCCCTTCAGATGTCATTTCTGTGCCAGCAGTGATCCAGCTTATACCCCAAACTGAAGGGGTTGTGGTTCTATTGGTACTGCACCAGGGGTTCTGCTTGGCATCTAAGCAGATTTGGTGTTTATACCACTGTTCAGTCCATGATTAAACTTTATTACAGGTCCTCAAGAAGTTAAGGAGCACATAATTTTTTGTTCAGATGACAATTTTTTTAGAACAAAAATTTCTCAATGAAGGAAGCAGCGTATTGATTTATATCTTGGTACAGTATCCCTATCTTGGCAGTCCTGAATTTGCTTTTTAATTGTCTCATGGAAACTTTTCTTTGGCAGGGTGGGTCTGAAATCAGTTGGAAGCCTCATAAGTCCTTAGAAGTGAGATGACAAATACCTTGCACTAGGACTACCATTCCTCTCCCAAGTTCAAGGTAGACGTCTGTAATCAGTCCCAGAACTTGTTTCTACTGAACTCAGATACAACCTTTTTTCAACACAACTTTCTAGATAACTATTAGCAATTGATCAGAATTAGACCAAAACACTATACGAAGCCCATTTTTCAGCCTTCCCTTAGATCCTTACTTTTGTTCAGGAGCATCCAGATCTCTGGGTATAATTCAGACCCAAACTTTACTTAACTGGGGTGGCCATAGATGCCATTTTTAAGACAGGAGATATTAGCCAAAACCTGGCAGCCAGTCATTCCTTTTAAGTCACGTAACACTGGCCTTTCTGCCTCTGGCTTAGCTATTTTAATAGTGACATTGGAGATGACTCCACTGAAATAATATCTGTGAGAATACTTTGTGACATTTAATACTTTATATAAAAGAAGAGTTGCTATAATTCATAAGTAAATATACAGTCAGGTTTGAGCTCCATAACTGTTTATCTTGTTTTATCCCCTGGCCTTCTTAGCCTAAAATCTTAGGAAATTATAGCTCTGAGAAGAGTTTTCCTCATCGAGTCTGCCTTTTGAGATGTCCCATTTCTTTTTTGTTGCTGCTGTTTAATATTGTACTGTGTTTTTGGTGAAGGTTTACACAGCAGTTTAGATTCCCATTCAACAATTTCTACACAAATTGTTCAGTTTGGTTACTTGCTTCACAATGTGTGAATGTTCTTAATATTTCTGTCTGGTTGTCCTGTTTCCATTGACCTCATCTCCCTGCCCCCTTACATCCCTCTTTGTTTTACAGTAATTGTTGACCATTTGGTCTCGTATAGGTGGTTTTTTTGAAGGAGCCCAGTACTCACAGATGATAGTCTTTTATTTTGTGAGCCAATTTGTTATTTAGCTAAAAAGGTGAACTCAGTTTCTGTTCAAGATTTAAAGACTATCTCAGGCAGGGCAGTAGTTCAGCAGAGTCCCCTAATGTCAACTGGTCCAGTGTTTTGTTTTGTTTTGTTGAAGAATTTGAGGTTCTGCTCCACATTTTTCTTATATTCTATCAAGGTCCATCTATGAGTCTGCCTTATGTAAAAATCACTTTTTAAAGCTCAATTTCATGGTGTCCATGAGAAAAATAAAGTACAAAACAAAAAAGCTAAAGCTACCCTTCTTCCCTTTCGCATCCCCCGACCCCCGACCTCGCTCCCATAAGCTGCTAACATCAAACTTGTGATTATCTGTCCGTGTGCTTCTGCCAGAGCAGCTCCCCAGTCCGCCCGTGTGCCTGCAGTGACACTCGAGTGCCACTTATGCCTGCCTTGGTTGAGATCCTTAGGTCCTTGAAGTGAAAGGCTTGAGATACCAGCATCAGTGTGTAGCATTTTCCCAGACCCCAATGAAAGTTCATTCTGTATTTTTCTCAGTCCTGGCTTTTCAGCTCAATTTGCCCCCAGACCCCAGAGAGTTCTGCACATCTCTCTCTCCACAACAGCAAAGTGTTAACAATGGGAGCGGGAAGGTTAGTCCATGAAGTGAAGAGTGTATTGTTTGCCTGTTGTCAGAGATATGTAGGTCCTTTCTGAAGACTTACTGTATCAATATCTCTTTCAGGGTGACCTACCCAGCTAAAGCCAAGGGCCCATTCATTGCAGACAGCCACCAGAACTTCGCCTTGTTCTTCCAGCTGGTAGATGTGAACACTGGCGCTGAACTCACTCCTCACCAGGTCAGGAAAGAGCCCAGATGATTCTCTTGGCCAGAAGCATCCATGTCCACTAGAGTTAATGGTGTTAGTATATTACATTGACTAGCAGAGATTCCAAATACTTCCTTTCAGATCTGTCCTCTGAGCCCCGACAGCTCAGCAGGGTCAGCCATCTTGGGCTTCTCTCACATGACACGCTTCTCTCTCTGGGACTGGTTGTAACCCCGAACCTGGAATACACTCTTCTTTTTAGAAGATTAGCTGGTATTGAGAAGATGTATTTAAAGCAGATTAGTACTTAATTGAGGCTTTTTTCTTTCTTATAAAAAATATCAAAATAATGTTGACAAAAGGAAAACCTAGGCAGTGGACCCAAACCATTGTTTTTGTTCTGGCCAGAGCACATTTTTTATTTGTGGAAATCTAAAGAATAACCCTTTCCATCTTGTTCCTGCTTATGAAAGCAAAAGGCTTCATCTTTTTTCATATATAAAATAATGAAAATTATTATTTCAGAGATATTTCAAACCATACTTTTTCCCAGAGAATCTGATTTATTGTTTTTCCCGTCACTTCTCACCACTTGCCTCTGTCATCCCCCCGACTGAGAATTACTACTCTCGCCTGGCCTATGTACAGTTAAGTGTTATATAAAGGGAAATCCAAATACTTTGCATGACGAAAGATAGGAAAGAGTGCCATACCAGAATGGGCTTGGTTTAAGTGCTTTGCACTTTGGCAAGAAACAGCCGTCTTGGGCCCATCCCAGGAGGCAGCTTCAGAAGCCAGTGGGTTTACTTGGAAACCTTCTGACTTCTTTTTCTTGTGGCTGCAGCTGCTGCACTTGCGCCCAGGCCCCAGAGTTGCTGCACCAGGACCACCATCCCTCCACTGCCCTGCTTAGCTCTTCTCTCCACCTCCAAACTCCAGAGAGCTTGGGCAGGGCACTTGGCCATGGGTGACTAACCTTTAAGCGTTTCAGACTCTTAGCATTTCCCACCTCCTTCCCAGAATGACATTTACCAACCAAAATAGCACAAGGGAAGAAGGAATATGAAAAAGAAAAAGCTGCAAGACTAAATTGATGGGGTTGAGGTTGGGGCAGGGAGAATAAGAAAAGGGAAATAAGTGAGGAAATACGACTTTAACTGAGTATTTGTCTCATCCAAGATTCTGGTTTAGAAGCCAGTCTCCATGGCTGTAGACACCTCCCAAGTCTCCAAGAGGCAGCCTTTTGCAGTGATCTTGGCCTCTGTCTGTACTTGGCTAGGATAGGAGAAGACCAGGCATCTGGGCTCCTAAATCCCATTCTTAGCCAAGACTCTATAATTGCTGTCATCAGGATGCTTCTCATCTCTGGACTCCTGCCCCTAGACCTTTGTTGCCCAGGTGTAGAGCAACATAGGAATTTGCATTTTCTCTGTGGCTCCGATGTTAGCTGTGGGGTGCTAGTGACTCATTCATGTTCAAGCCTATGATTTGTAAAATGAAACCAACCAAGGCTACCTGCCTTGTTGAATTCTGTATTTTGAAACACTTGAAAAAAAAGCTCTGAGTGCACATTAAGTTTTGCTGCAGTTCTTACGTGCAGCAAACTTAGTTTCTTGTGCCATTGAGGGGATTAAATATTAGACTCATACCATTATATCAATAATAGTATTAACTACTGATAGTTGACTAGCTAGTATGCACCAGGTCCTGCACTAAGTGCTTTGCATACATTAAGGTGAATCTTAACACAGTCGTACCACATGTAGAAGTTACTCTTTCTGTCTTACAGATGAAAAAATCAAGGCTTAAGGAGGTTAAGTAACCTGCTCAGCTACTAAGTAGTGTCTGTCTTCAGAGCCTGAGCTCTTTCCATGACACCAGGCTGCTCTGCTCGATTAGGACTCTGCCTTGCTGTCAATACTCAAGTCTCCTCTGCTAAATCTTTAGCTGGAGGCACCAGGAAATTGGAAAATGGACCTCTTACAGTTCCACCTCATTTCCCTTCTTTTCACCCTCTGGTGAAGAAGTTAATTGGGCAGCAAAGTGGCCAAAAGGCTGGCAGGAAAAAGAAATTGCAGCACTAGCAAAGGGCTTAAATCATCCACAGACTGGGCCTTCAGCCTCCAAGTAGTGAGGAATTGGCTGGAGCTCTGAGTTAAATTTCTTGCCTTCTACCAACCAAATGTGATCTTTGGTCTCTGAGTTGGGTGCTGGGGTGGGATGGCCACTCCTTCCCTTCTCATAAGCAAGTCTGGCTGATCCCAGAGCCTTCACTGTGATGAGAGAGGGCCAGCAGCCTGCTGCCTTGTTGATGCAATGCTGGACCCACAGGGCATTTTTAAATGGTCAGGTGAAAGGTTGTATTATTATTCCATCTAGACGTTTGTCCGGCTTCATAACCAGAAGACTGGCCAGGAAGTGGTATTTGTTGCTGAACCAGACAGCAAGAATGTATATAAGTTTGAACTTGATACCTCTGAAAGGAAGACTGAATTTGATTCTGCCTCTGGCACCTACACCCTCTACTTGATCATCGGAGATGCTACTTTGAAGAACCCAATCCTTTGGAATGTGGTATGTGCCTAAATGTACCTTGGCCCAATCCCGTGGACCCAGGCAAGAGTGGCTACTCCATGATCAGACAGCTCCTTTCGGGGGCATGGAGCTCCTCACCCTAGCCTTGCCTATGCCACCTACTGGGCAAAAAATAAGCATTATGGGGTGAGGGACTGTGTGCTGTCTCCATTAGCAGTCTTAGGGCGATGTTCGTGAGCCTACACACAGTAAAAAATATACAAAAAAAACACTGCCATGGAGTTGGAGCCAACTCATAATGACCCCTCCTTGGGTTTCTGAGGTATTATCACTACGGAAGTAGATTAAGGAACCTACAGTAGGTTCCTTAATAAGGAGTGAGTGAGTGAATGAGTGACTTTGCCCTCTCGTAGGTTCTAGTGATCTTTGAATTTCTACAAAAGTATTGGAAGGAGATTTTCATACTATGGCAAGGCAATATGGGGGATACACATTTATAAAAGAGAAGGCCCTGGCCTATGAGATATGGTACAGCCTCATGGGAAGTGTAAGAGAGTAAGATTTGAATTCTGATAATTCAGAATGATGTAGAGTAATGAATTTTAGGATGTGCGAAATGCTAATAAACTAATAGCCAACGTTTGTCTAGCACGTTACAGTCCATACATACTTTTCACCCACGTGTTTCGCTTTTGTTTGGTGTGATGAGAGAAAACTTCTGAAAGACATGGCATCTTGGCTAGGAATAGTAGAATTACAAGTGTTTATCAGAATAGAGTTATCATTAAGGGACCAGCTTGAGCACTTTCAGTGAGACCTGAGTGGCTCCCTTTCTTTGGAGTCAGGAGTCCTGTCGAGAACAGTAGGCAACTAACAGAGGTTAGAAAGGTAACGGAGGCCAAATTGCAGGCCTTGATGGTGACTGGCTTCCTTTGCGAAACAAAGAGGCAGCTGCATTTTCTTGTGTTGTAATCAAGGTTCCTTTTCTTCTCTTGGACTTTGCACTGCTTTTTGTACAAGAGCACATTTTGATTTCTCTTTCTTCTGTGACTAAATCACACTTCCCAGGGACACTAAGCAATTTCTGATTGCAACTGTAACGGCCTGGGTACCAGCTGGGATTTTTGTATTAAGCAGCTCTATGGGGTTCAGGTACCAGTAGAAAATTGGAATTCTTGCTCTAAAAAGCATTTTCAACAAATACTTATTTTGTTCTTGAAATTTTTACTGCCTCCATCTGTCGACTAATGGGTGAAGAAGTGATTGGACTGCTTGGAGTTATTTTAAGTTACGGTCTTAGGTGTGAGTCAGGCAAGACTCTCCTTCTGATGATTGTCACCCCCTTTCTATGCCCTGTGCCTTTAAAGACTGCTCTTCTTTTTTAAGGCCGATGTGATTATCAAGTTCCCTGAAGAAGATGCTCCATCAACTGTCCTGTCCAAGAACCTTTTCACTCCCAAACAGGAAATTCAGGTATATCCTAAAGGAATTATCCATTAAACTCTGAGGAACAGTGTAGAATGGGCACATTGAGAAACCAAACCAAACCCACTGCTATCGATTCAATTCCAACTCATAGTGGCCCTAAAGGACAGAGTAGAACTGCCTCATAGGGTTTCCAAGGCTGTAAATCTTCATGGAAGCAGACGCCTCAACTTTCTTCAGTGGAGCAGCTAGTGGGTTCAAACCACTACCCTTTTAGTTAGCAGCCAAATGCTTTAACCACTGCACCACCAGAGCTCCTTGGCACAATGAGAGAGGGGAGCAAACCCTGGACTCTCACTCTGGCTCCTACTTTAACCTATCTTATGTATGTGATGCTTTATTGTTTGGTCCTCACCGCCTGTGAGTCAGGCAGAGCACGTCAGTTACACCCTAGAGCCAAACAGATAGGTACAGAGAACCCAACGACCAGCTCCCAGAAGGGAGATGATCAGAGACAGACTCAGAACCAGAATCTGTGTTTCCTAATATCCAGTCCCCTGCGGTCTTTGTGCAGCCCTCATGTCACTACATGACAACTACAAGTGCAGATGCATTTCTCATCCATCCTCTCTGCTGCAGCAGAAATCAGGGCTGATGGGGACCTATAGGTGGGAAGATTCAACTAGGAGAACAGGGTTTCACTCCCATAGGAAAGTCCTTCCTCTCTCCTGGGGCTCACTTCCTTATATACAAAAATGGAAGATCCTTGCCCTGCCCAGCCCACAGGGCTGTTGTGAGGATTAAAATAAGTAATGGATAAGGAAAGAAAGGCTTTGAAAAGTTTATAAACAATTGTTAATGTTTCGGCACTGGTTGAGGAAGAATCCGAAGTGGATCCCCTCAACGGGAGTATTTTGTAGCCATTAGGAATGATCATGCTGCAGCAACTTGGGAACCTGTGTATTAATTACTGATTTAATGATCAAAGCAGACTATTCACCCTAATTTCACTATAAAGAAGGACAAGGGCCAAAGGGTAGAACAGTAGGATTCTTTTTTAAATTCTCTTGATGTTATTGTAACATTCATTATTTAAGAATATAAAATACAGTTAAATAGTAGCTATAATAATTGTGAGTGCTGACTGATTTCGGGGGTAGGAAAAATGGCAGCAACTGTGACACTGTTAGAAATCCCTTAGTGCAGTGGCAGCAAAGAAAAGCCGAGGTGAAAATGTGGGAACAGGAGGCTCAGGCAGGGCTGCCTCATAATGTGGCTGGATTGGCTAGGCATTCACAAGCAGAGAAGACAGCTACCAGTTTGTATCTTGCAAGAATATCTTTTTAAAAAAAGTTAAATTTGTTTAAGTGCATTACCACTTAAAATGCATAATCAAGTGCCCTGTTTCATTTGCTCCTTATAATAATATCTTTGCAGTCTAATAAGGCAGTCTTTCTCCTCCTTTCCCCGGCTGGAAACCAAGGCAAAAAGCTATTTGTCCATGGTCACATAACCAATACATATAAATCTGGACCTGAATAGAGCTCCATCTGCTAGGTCGCACTATATAGATGAGCTGCCCAAATATCTTCATGCACAATTTCTTAAGAAGAAAAAAAGGAAGTATCAGAGGAATGCTTGCCCATGCCAGAATTTGCCCAGCCTTCTGGTTCACCTCTGGAAATCGAGCAGAGCAGTGAGGGAGAAAGTTCTTTGTAGGGCTTTCTTAGAGTCATGGGCCAGGGGAGGGAGGAATGAGTTAGGGTTGGAACCATCCATAGTGCTACTGTTAAATTTTTAAAAGAGGACATTATCACCAGTTAGCTCACTTACATGGAAAACAACATATGACAGTGCCACCCTAGGAATCCAGATGCTTGAAATCTGGAGCCCTGCTTGGGAGTATCACCATAATCATCCATATACCTGGGGTTGTGTTCTCCGACCTCTAAATGGCAGTGAGTCAAAAAAAGGATTTGGCCAGCTAGTGAGCTCGGCCTGATGTGTCTTTCAAAGGGGGACCTCTGGGATCAGAAGAGGCAAAAGGCCAAGTGACTGTGGTCACTTGTTGCCAGGAGATTTGAGCCTTTGGGAGGTATTTCCTCTTCATGACTGTCACTGACATTTCAGTCCCTAGTATACGTGGCCACTCCTGCTGGGAAGGGCACGCTCTGAAGTGTTCTTGGTGTGTCTTCTTGTGGCAGCACCTGTTCCGTGAGCCTGAGAAGAGGCCCCCCACAGTGGTGTCCAATACGTTCACCGCTCTGATCCTCTCGCCCTTGCTCCTGCTCCTTGTTTTGGTGAGTAGCTGTAATTAGGATGGGCAGTGTGTATCTAGTGCTGGACTTGGCAGATGTAGCCATTCCAAAGGAGGCTTTGTGCTCTGGCCTCAGCACAGCCCTAAAGGGGTCCAGCAGCTGTAACCTGAACTGATGGTCAAAAAATTTTAGAATCACCAAAATTCCCTACTATGGGGGAGCAGCCAAGTAAACAGATCCATTAACAAGGAACATGAGAAAGTACCTAATATCCATAAAAAGTAACAGACACGTATGTATGGATTATGATGCTCCATAGAAGTGTTCAGATGAGATCAAGTGTGAAAAAAAAGTGTGGCCTAATGCTGTAAAAAATACAGTATCTTGCATTGTTTGGGACACAAAACTGGAGACAACCTAAAAGTCTTCATAAAAGCAATTGTTCTGGTTACCTAGTGCCACTCTGACAGGAATATACCACAGGTGGGATGGCTTGAACAAACAGGAGTTTATTCTCTTACAGTGTAGAGGCTTTAAGTCCGAGTTCAAAGTGCCAGGCTCTAGGGGCTGGGTGAAAGCCCCCTAACCTTGGGCTTCAGCTCTACCTCCTGCTCCCAGCTCACTGGAGCTAGAGGCTTTTCTTCACTCAGACAGCTGCTGGCTGCTGAGACTGACAAGCCCAAGGTTGACAAGTGAAAAGGCACAGTCCTGGTGTTACCAAATCACACAGCAGGCCATTAATTCAAGCCCATTAAAAGTTCCAAGGTCAGCAGAGCATGGCAGGCTGCTGAACAGTGACATGTCTGCATGCAGGGTTGAAGCGTGCCATAAGCTGGAGATCATTCCTAAAGCTGCTGCTTATATACGAAAAGCAGACCACATACCCAAAGCAGCTACTCAGCTGCTTGTGGTAGATCCCTTCATGGAGTTGATTGCCAGTCTCATCATGGGAAATAACTATAACCAGCTGCCCAACCAAGTTGAAACACAATCTTTAACTACCACAGCAGTGTTGAATGAATTATGGTACATCCATACAATGGAATAATATGCTGCTTTTTAAAAGAATGGTTAGATCTATAGGGTGATTTGAAAAGATTGTCAGCATTTATTATTATATGACAAAAGCAATGGTTAGAATAGTATGTTTAATATGATCCTTTTTGGATAAAAACTTTAAAAAGATTTTATCTGTTTATGTTGGTTGAGAAATGTATGGAAAACACATTAGATCTTACTTTTGCAAAGTTGCCTGTGTTTCTAATTAATTGATTGATTTTAATAAAATAATTATTAGTCATTCTAAATCAGCATGCCAAGGTTTCAGATACCAGACCTGTTCAGGAACACCTGTCTCCTTTTTGAGTGATCAGAATATTAAAAGGCATGGAACCTACAGCAGCTGCATGCCCTACCAGCTGCCAGTGACTTTATCTTGGCACTACTGAGAGAAATTAGACAGGGTGTTGATCACTGCAGTCATAAATGCAGTTTTGGTTTCATGGTTTCACCTGTTTGAAAATGTAAGCATTTGCTGTCATTAACAAGGATGCTCAGGTTTGAATTACCCAAGAACATTGGAGAGCAAGTGTTGGGATGCCTTTCTTAAAAAAAAAAAAAAAAAAAAAATTTCCTACAGACTCATAATAATCATGGTTGTCATTTGGAAAAATTCTCTGTCCTTCCAGTGTGTACCTACCAAATTTTAAGCCCTGAGGACTGTTCATTGGATTAGCTTTGGCATGCATGTGTTGCCTCTCTTTCAAGTTCTAATGTCTTTTTAATTTCTCTCTCCTCATCCTTCAGTGGATCCGGATTGGTGCCAATATCTCCAACTTCACTTTTGCTCCTAGCACGATTATCTTTCACCTGGGACATGCTGGTAAGCGCCCCAGGCTGCTAATTCCATTTAACCTCCTCTGACATTTAGCCTGCACACGCAAAAGCCCTGTTAAGTAGACCCACAACCTATTAACTATAATGACTTAATAGCATAACATTTCCCTCTTCCTCCTGGCCTTTTAGGACAGTTAATATGATGATAAACCTGTTTGGTCCATCAGCTTAGAACAGCTGTCATTATATCAGGGCTCATTGTACTCAGCTGCTTTTGGCAGGCCATTTACCCTCATTTAATAGCCCTGTTCATTTCCAGAGATTACTCACTTATTCTATCTTTACATTGAGCCATCTTCCTGGATGAAGAGCATTAGTGCAGTCTCCAAAGGTTATCTTTCCACACCGTATTGATCTTCACGTTTACTGGCGGCTGTATCTGGACAGTAATAGGAAACAGTCCCTTCCACAGCCAGGCATGCTGTCCGGCATTGTTCTCTTGAGAACTTAAGACGTGAACGTAATGAGACAGTAAATTCACAAATGAGTTAAGCGTTTCAGAGACTTTGGATACTACTGGATTGTTAGTGCCTTGCATTTTCCTGAGACTTCAATAGCCTTTTTTAATTTCTTTGCCTCTTTTAGGAGTAACCATTTCTGTGTCCACAGGTATGGATTCTGTAGGGGTCTACAGATTAATGAAATTATAGGCAAATATATGTCCATCTGGTTTTTGGGGAAAGAAAGTCTGTAACTTTAATCAGATTCTCACGGTGTCCATGACCTCAGAGATGGTTAAGAACTCCTACTGTAGTTCATCAGTCAACCTTCTGGGCAGAACTGACAGGATGACCTTTCTCTTCAGCCCAGCCCACTTACTGGATTTGAGTGATAGCCCTCCCGGGTCAGGCTGAGAACAAAACCTGCATATAAATTTGTTTAAAGCCATGACTTTTTATTTCCAAAGTACTTTTTGTGCATATTTCCTCATTTGATTCTCATCATAAACCTGAGGGGGGGTGATTGGGGCAGAAATTAGGATCCCCATTTGATGGGTGAGAGAATTTAGGCTCAGGCAAAGTCTGAACTAGAACTCAGAACTCTTGATGCCCGGCCTAAGCCCTTTTCACTAAATCTCTATCCTCAGACCTCCCTGCTGCCTTCTTAGTCACAGTGGCAAATTATCCTTTTAAAAAAATTTTAGTAAGAAGGGAATTGTTTATTTACATCTTGCCTACTTTCATTAAAAATTTGAAAAGTAAAAAGAATCCTAAATATAGCAGCACAGTAAAGTTGGTTTTTGTTTTGTTTTTTAAATAAAACCAAAACAATAGCTACAGTAATGAAGCAGAGAAATAAATAATAGCAAGAAAGTGGAAAGAGATAGTTAATGTAGCTGAAGTCTGACTTTTACCTCTCTGGGTTTCCTGGGTCAGCAAGGCTGAGAGGCAAGTATATTGAGTTATCTGCTTTCTGGAATCAGACGAAAGAAGTAAAACAAGCTGGTCTAGGAGTATAGACCTTTTTGCGATCCATCAGTTACTACTCCTAACGTTCCTGTACTCTCAAGGAATTGTCACTGTTTCATGAAACTGGCTGTCACAACACCTTTTCTTGTAGCCATGCTGGGGCTGATGTATGTCTACTGGACTCAGCTCAACATGTTCCAGACACTGAAGTACCTGGCCATCTTGGGCAGTGTGACATTTCTGGCTGGCAATCGGATGCTGGCCCAGCAGGCAATCAAGAGGTAAGAGTGGGGACGAGTCAGGGGCCCAGAGCAGGATTAGAAGTATGTGTATCAGCTCTGCTTGCCCAGCTCTTGAACAAGGATATGTGGCAAAATTATTCAGATCCTTAGGTGCAAGTCTGACACCTTAATCCAGCCTGATACAGAAGCAGTGCACACTCTTAAGCCAGAAAAGGACCTTGGAGATCAGCTTTAAGTATCTTGAAGCCACACTAATTTCTCTGGTAGCATAGTGCCTAAGGCACTTGACTGCTAACCAGAAGGCTGGTGGTTCAAACCCACCAGCTACTCCTCGGAAGGAAGGTTGGGCAATCTACTTCCATAGTGATACCGCCTTAGAAACCTAAGGAGGGGTCGCTATGAGTCAGGGCTGACTCGACGGCACATAACAACAACAACAACAACACACATTAGAGTGAGGGAGGGAAATAATTGTTTCATGAAGATTAAAATGGATTAGAACTTGTGGCCCAAAGATTGTTAATTTCCTGGCTACGTAAGCATTCTCTTCTTTGATACAGAGAATGCCCCTTTACCCTCCTCCCAGGCCCTCAGAGAGTTACTCCTCTGTAACCCCTACCAGGCTGCAGGAGCTTTGCTTCCTAAGCGTGAGATCAGTGCTCTTCCCCTCAGAAGCTGCTGCAGGTTTTGCACAGAGGCCCCCAGCAAGGTGCTCCTGTTGCATAGCTCCTACCACTTCACTGAGAGCCAGACAACCTCGGGTTCACACAAATAGTTAGACCTCGATGTGATAGCAGCTTGCTGGCAGCTTGACTTTTGAAACAGAATTTGAGGCAAATTTAAATGTCACAAAGGTGTTTCTCATTGATTTGACTTCATTAGAACTTTGGCGATTTCAGCCACGCAAAGGCCAGTAAGAAAAGGTCACAATTGCTTTCACCTTTAAAAGTAAACCTTTCTGGACGTGCTCTGCTTTCTCCACACCAAGACTTCTCTGGAAGAGTGTCACTCAGTAGTGTGCCACGGCTGCCAAGGAAGCCAGTCAGATCAGAAAGAGGCTTTCTTGGAAACCGTTGTGGGTGGGAGAGTGAAACGTCTTGCCTCTGAGGCCCGAGTCTCTACTGTGAGCTCACTGAGTGCCTCACCCTGGAGATCCAGCTCAGACATGCCCCTGGGCTGCCCTGTCACCCTTCAGGTTCCATCAGAGCTTCCCCTAGCACCAGCAGTGGCAGCTGGTTCATTTTTCTCTGGGCTTCAAACTGCTTCAGAATGGTTCAGTCATGGGTGATGGAAACAAGAGCAGTGTACACGTTGCATAGCAGCCAAGTCTCTTGTGCGTTGGATTTTGACCCCAGCGGGAAATAGGCAGAAGGGACCCACTCAGAGACGGCAGCTGACCAGCACATTCAAAGCATGGTCAGCTACCATCTTTGAGTGGGGCACCCCTGCTTGCCCACTCAGGTCAAACTCCACACAGATTTGGTTGCTATATAGTGGGTCTGTTGCCCTTGTTTCCATCAGTCATGGCTGAACCAGTTGAAGCCCTGTTTTTTTCTGCTCCTTCGGCAGCCTTTACTTGGCTATACATTGCACCTGAGAAGGAGCCGGGGCTTGACTATTTGCCAAAGTAGAGCCTTGTCCCCTTGCCGCAGCCAGTCTGGGCCCCAGGGAACCAAAAGGCTGTGCCCTACTGGACTTTTTCTTTTTTGAAGAATACCCACACAAAACAAACAAAATCAAGAGGTGATAGACGTGAAAGGCATTTGATTTAGAGCCTGCTTAGCAGGTAGCATAGTGCCTAAGGTGCTTGACTGCTAACCAGAAGGCTGGTGGTTCAAACCCACCAGCCACTCCTTAGAAAGAAGGTTGGGCAATCTACTTTCGTAGTGATACCACCTTGGAAACGCAAGGAGGGTCACTATGAGTCGGGTCTGACTCGACGGCACATAACAACAACTAGCAGCAGCAGATAATCTGGGATCCTCAAATCGCGTGCATTTTCTGGGGAAACGGACAGTGATTTTCAAACAAATCAGTGGCTGCTGCCCCCACCCTGCTGACACATACACGCATCCCACACAAAAGGTTAAAGACCCCTCTTCTGTTACTGTCTTATAAGTACTAGAACTGACTGCTGGGAAAAAATCATTGACCCTAAGGGAATCTTTAATTGGGTGTTTGCCATTTCTTTCCTTGGCTTATTTCTCCTCTCACTGTCCTTTCTTGATTCTCAAACCCTCTTTCCTTTGGCAGGATCGCTGCAGAGCAGAGCAGTAGATTGGCAAAATATAGGACACTACGGTAAAGATGAAGGGCGGACTCGTGTCAGAAGCAGGGTCCTTTTCCCATCTTGCCCACCTCCTGCATGTCAGTTCTATCTGGTTTTCAGCCCACTCGTTCCTCCCCAGCCCTCCCTAAGCCAAAGCTGAATTCTGAGACCGTTTTCAAACTTACTGGAATAGAGCAAAAGTCCCCTGTCGTAGTCCAGCCAATGGGGTAGCTACACCAGAGCAACTCGGGCCTGGTTTGGCTGTGTAAGACGTTATCCTCCCTTGGATCTCACGGGGTATTTATTAGAGACACCAGCCTCCATCTCTCTGGCTGTAGGAGAGGAGTGTTAAGGGTAAGGCAGGGTGAACCTTGGGGGCTTCTTAAAAGAGGACCTCATTCAGAACATCTGAATTCATTCAGTGATGGTCCCATGGCAAATCCTGGCACACCTTGTCACTGTTTCTAGGCCTTTTTTTGACACCACCCTCTAGTTGGGCCAAACAGTGGTGTTTGGTGAAACTCTAAATTATGGTGGCCACAGATCAAAGCCAGCATCAGAATCGGGTTTTCTAGCACTGAGGGTGTGATGGAAGGTTGCTCCCCCTGTGACTGAAATGTCAAGTTAAATACCGCGCATTTTCCTTTCAGGTCGGGGGTGGGGTGGGGGGAGTAAAGTGAAGGAGGGAAAAAGAGAGAATGAGTGAGCCTAATGCTTCATTGCTCGGCTCCTCTGGACCAGGGCTTGGCAGACTCTTTCTGTAAAGAGCCAGCTAGGCTTTGTGGGCCGTATGATCTCTGGCTCAGCTACTCAGCTCTGTCACTGTAATGTGAAAGCAGCCATAGACAATTTTTAAACAAATGAGGTGGGCTGGATTTGGCTCCAGGCTGGAGTATGCTGACCTTTGCATTAGACCAACAAATGGGAGGGCGATAGTTGGATTTTCCAGTCATGTTCCCTCTTGCCCCATGCCTTGGAGCAGATGCCTTTCCCTACCAAAATGACAAAGGCATCTAATGTTTCACCCTCTGAAAATAAGAGAGGTCAACAAGTGCATCAAATGAAGGGCCCTTTTATTGATGTGTGAACAGATGCTGGAATACCGAGCCTTCGACACAGAAAGGAATTACACTTTTTTCTTCCCCCCAGGTTTAATGGGGGTGTGATTTATACAGAGTAAAATTTACCCTTTTTAATGTACAGTTCTGTGTATTTTGACCAACTTATGCAATTGTATAAACACCACTTCAATCAAGATGTAGACTATTCACACTCCAAAAGTTCCTCTGTGCCCTCTGTAGTTAGTCCCTTTACCCCACCCCCACTCCCCGGCAATACCATTTGGTTTTGTCTTAATTTATAGTTGTTCAGTCTGAGATTTGCTTTCAGAACTAATAAGCTCTGTTGTCCTTGCTGCTAAATGTTGAGTTTTTAATTCTTCAATACAACTCTGGATTGATCTTGTAAGTTCCCTGCCACCCACATATGTCATATTGCTTGAGGGAGAGGAAAGTCATTTGATCATTTGAACCATTTGCCACTTTCTGAGGTTGGGACCTAGGACTTCAGAGGAAAGACCCTGGTAGTGAAGTGCTCTTGATCTGAGGAAGGACATTGTTTTAAGCAGCCAAGACATAGGGCATGACTTCTCAGCCAAGATAGTAGCTTGTGGGCTAATACCCTTTGGCTGTTCTTAGGCCATAGTCCTGCTACACTCTCCACATGAGCATTTCTGATCACACACATTTTAGTCTACTGGGGAGCCTCTGGATGTTTGCAGGGAGCTAGGGGCAGTCACTCAGCCCTCAGGATTAGTTCCGTGCCTGTGCATGCCCCTTGGAACTGTTTGATTAATTGGTTTGGAGCCTGCCATTCTGCAAAACTTCATCATCACATTAGTCCTCACCACTGGATATAGCTGTCTGCTGATGGATGGCCCAGTTTTTAGTGCCCCTGCCTCTGCTTGCCGGAGCTGGCCCCATCATTGCTTGCTGCTGTTACCCTCCTGGCTGCCATGTCTGTCTAGATCGTCCTTTTCATTGCCTGTTTCTCCATCACTTCTTGGAGTCTTGGGAAAGGCAGCCTTGAGGAAAGAGGGAATGAAGAAGTAGAAAGGTTTTTATTCCCTCAGCATTTTTCGGTGAACTGAGTCCTGTTTTTGAGCATCATTCTGTCTTAGGTTTAGAATGATGAAAACATGGCCACATGGCAGGAATATGGTGCAAGTTTCTGGGCTGAATGGTCAGGATACCATTTTCCAAGCTACATAAAGGGCACATGTTGGTTGGCAGATCTGGAGTCTAGGCAATGGAAGATGAGCATTCTTTAAACTCTCTGTTCACCTGGGTGAGATTCACATGATCTTTGTGGCCTTGCACTGTGAGAGGTGTGCCTGGAATTTGCTCATCTCCTTCTGTTTTCACATACCTCTTCGTTATCTTCAGATTTGCTTCACTGCTTTTATTTAAGTTGTTGTCAGCTTTTGTTATGAACTAGCTGTCTCAAATTCTTTTGTGAAATGACATGGGGTATAAATAAATAAGAATTACTAGAAAAGTGATTATGCCCTTATACATGGGATCTTATAGGGGGAGAGGGCCTTGGTTTCTCTGTTGTCACCAGTTAGGAACTGCAACAGTGAATTATCTTTGGTAATTTTGTGTTGGTCTCTATTTTCTTTCAGAACAGCACATTAGTTCCAGAAAAAGAAAAGAAATTCTGAAAACTGCAATGAAGTTGAGAAAAGGAGTCAAGAATAATTCACAATTTGAAAAAAAAAGGAATGAAAAACAAAACAAAACTTTATGTAAAAAAAAAAAAACATTGAGATTGTGGTTATACTTGTTCTTCAGTTTCCCCAGCACAGAGCAGATACCCGAGTCCAGACATTACTCTGTTTCATTGGCATGGCGCCCTAGCTAGATGGCTGTGAATATTCTTAACTTACCCAGATGTTGGTTTGGAAAGTTGAAATCTGTAGTCTGTTTTGGAATAAAGAGAATGATAATAGGAACAAAGGCCTGATGGAGAGTTTATTCTTGTACTTTTGAGGGTGATGGGATTCTTGGGGTGCATAACATGAGGACTTAGTTGAGGAATACTCTGGACAAGATAGCCAGGTGTTTCTCCAGGCCTGTTACATTGCTCCTTCTCGCCTCTTTCCTAACAGGACTGAGAATTGCCTGAACAAGTCACTTCCTTTCTTCTTCTCCAGCTGTGACCACAAGCTGGTCTGCAGGGAGCCCAGTCCTATTGTTATCTGAAGGGTTCTCTTGCTATAGCACCTAAGACTCTGTTCAAGGCTTTCACCTTGAACGTCTGGACACTGTGTGCAGTGGGAAAGGAAAAGGATTATCTTCAAAGAAGGGTAACCACATGAGCTTTCTTAGGCTTTAGGACTTAGAAGGACACACACACACATCTTAAGAATGTCCCTTTTGAAGCTTTACCCCAGGACCACTATCAAATGGAAGTTACATGAAGTCCTGTAGAGAAATAATTAGAATAATGTGGTAAAGTGGATAGACTTTGGTGTCAGGCAAACCTGTCACTTAACTAGGTCAGGGATCTTGGGCAAGTGACTTCTGCAAACCTCTTTTTTTCTTCTTCTTTAAAGAGTGATAAGTACCTATTTCATGGAATTAAAGGAGTTGATTGCGTGGCACAGTTAAGCACTTGGCCACTAACCAAAAGATTGGCGGTTCAAATCTACCCAGAGGTATCATGAAAGAAGGGCCTGACATTTACTTGTATTTACTTGTGAGAGTCACAGCCATTGAAAATCCTACAGAGCACCTTTCTACTCTGAAACACAGGGGTCTGTGCAAAAGGGACATTGCTGCATCATCTGTCCTTCCCCAGCCTCCCAATGGGGAGGCAGTTAATTAATGGGGTTTATTAGGGAAGTAACAGGCTACATCTCAGGTTCAGGAATGCACTCCTTATAATTCGATCAGGACCGTCTCCCCTCTGCTGCGTCCTCAGTTTGGCCTCTCGGCCTGCTTGGTCTCTGCCCTGCTTGGGCAAGAATGTTATAAAGCTCTTTTAGCTCTGCCAATAGGTACACCTACGTGCACCCCACTCTGCCCCAAAGCCTCCTGCCCAAAAGCACTCAGCTTTCTGGTTCCATGGGTCAGATAAGCCCACTGTTCTCTCTCATGCCTCTTGGATCCACTGCCACTGTCTCTCAGCGGGGTGTCTCTGCCAAAGAGGTCCAGCACAGGGATCTCAGGTCCCAGGACGTGCTCTGCTCCACTCCACCTCTGCTAGTCCCTCTTGATGGCAGTGAGATCCCCTTTTCTGCCTCTAGGAGAGCTCATTTTAAGCCTGGCAGAGTGACAAAACTAACCAATCCCAACATTAGAGTTCTATACACCTTATTTGTGTAGTCCCACCCAGTTACCTAGTGGAAGTCACAAAGACCATGGCTAGAAAAGCCATACAAAGTAATTCACTGCACTGCAATCTACGTGAGGTGGAATTGTGATGACAACTGGTTAGTCCATCTAAGGTGCTTAGCTTACTGCTTGGCATCTTTTCTAACTGGTCCACAGTTACAAACTGACTCATTGCCTCTAAATCTATTAATTGGAACACCATGCATTTTGTTAACTTTTGAAATGCAGGTGATCCTAACTATTTATTGAGTTTTTGTGATAGGAGTTATTTTATTTAATCAGATTGCCTTCCACCCCAGCTAGTCTTCAGTACATTGAGGAAAATGGGATTTGATGGCAGAAAGGGAAAAGGAGATTGTGGAACTTTGGGCAGTTCTGAACGTGATTCTGCAGATGAGAGGGTGATTTGGGCAATTACAGGGGTGCCTGGAGGATGGGAAAGATGCTTTGCTTTTTCTCGAGGTTCCATACTGGTGGCCCACAGATTTATTTGATTCATATTTTTTTTCAAAAATTGAATTTGTTGTCAACATTTAAAAATTGGAAGATTTTCTCAAAACAACAACAAGATACGATCTTGCCCCAGCACTAGTAGCAAAGTTCAACAAAACAGAAAATAACAAATGCTGGCGAGGATGCAGAGAGATTGGAACTCTCATACACTGCTGGTGGGACTGTAAAATGATACAACCACTGTGGAAAGCAGTATGGAGATTCCTTAAAAAATTGGAATTAGAAATACCATTTGACCCACACGTTCCATTACCAGGTATATATCCTAAACAAGCGAGAGCCAGGACAAGAACAGATATCTGCACACCCATGTTCATCACAGCACTACTTACAATAGCCAAAGATGGAAACAACCTAGGTGTCCATCAGCTGAAGAGTGGATAACCAAACTATGGTACATACACACAATGGGATACTATGCGACCCTAAAGAATAACGTAGAATCTGCAAAACATCACATAACGTGGATGAACTTGGAGGACATTATGCTGAGTGAAGTAAGTCAATCATGTACAAATATATTAGTCCATTATTGTGAAAAGTCAAGAAAAGCTTTATATATGGAAGGAAATTTTCTTTGTTGGTTACCAGGGGTAGGAGGGGAGGGAAGGGAACACTGTTAGGTAGAGACAAGTATTGATTTGGGTGACAAGAAGGGCAATGTACCAAATGTGATCAACATGGTGGCATTGAGGAAGACAGAGAGAGGTGTGTGGGAGGTATAGACAACAAAGATGAAAACTTCTGCACATACAGTACTGCATTGTCAGTGAAGGCAAACACGGATATATGGGTGGGTAGACAGGCTGAGCTGTTAGGTATGTCTGTGCAGGGGGAAGAGTGCCTAAGACCATGTATAGCGTTGGCAGACAATGTTTTTACAAGTATATTGGTATGTTCTGTAAGAATTCCCAGGTAGTCACTTCTTGGTCACAGCCAGCTACCCAGAGGGAGCAAGTAGTTGGATTTGTGGACTTGGGACCATAGTCGCAGGGGACATCAAGCTCAATTGGCATAATATACTACACAAAACATTGTTCCACATCTACTTTGGTGAGTAGTGACTGGGATCTTAAAAGCTTGCAAGCGGCCATCTAGAGGCAACAATGGGCCTCTCCTCATCCAGAGGAAAGAAGAATGAAGAAAACCATGGAAACAATTAGTCCAAGTAACTGATATACCATGTGATCCTTGGCCTATACGACTATGAGACCATAAGAACTAGGTGGTGCCCGGCTACCACTGTCAACCACTTGGAGGGGGGCTCTATGTAGGAGATCTTGGATAGAGTGAGAGAACAATGTGGAACAAAACTCAAAATCATTTGACAAAAAAAAGGGGGTGGGGGGTACTAGGTTTTCTCGTCTGATAGAGCCGGATGGAACCACTGAGACTTTGGCCCCTAGCTGCCCTTCAGGTCTGGAATTGAACCCACTCCTGTGGCTGCCAGCCAAACAAAAGACAGGCAGATGAGCTGAACATTTACATTATGTAGATACACTCCTTGGAGAGAACAATCATGGGAGAACAGAAGGGCTGTGTATGCACAGGGAGACAGCTCGGGGCAAAAGTGCATGGGAGGGAAGGACACAAGGAAGAGGTAATTATGGGGAGGAAGTGGGAGGGGAGATGTTATATTGTGGGAAATTACAGTCAATGTCGGAGACAAAGTATATGTGAGCTGCTGTACGGAAAGTGAATTTGCTCTGTAAACTTTCACCTAAATCACAATTAAAAAAAAAAAAATTACATGATTTCATATACCAGTCTGGGGTTTTGGATTCTCTTGAGAAAGAAAATTAGACCTGGCAACCTTGGGTCCAATTCCTAAAAGGCAGCAATCGGCTGGAGCTGAATCCTAATTCACTCCAGTTTGCCATAGCCCACCACTCAGCATCAGTTCCACTTACCATAACACTGGTGCTGGTACCTCCAATCAACATTGTTCACTGATACCTACCTGGCTCCTGTAGGCATGTGACTTTGGGACACCCTGCTTTAAATTTTTAGTTTCTTATCCCACTCTGAGAGGAAAGGGTGATGTTGGCCTCCCTCCTATTGCTCTAGGATGGCCCCTAGTGGGCCTTTTGAGGTGTGCTGGGGTCTCAGCAACCCACACTGAGGGAAAGGGGAGAAAGCAGGCAGTGTGTGGGGTAAGAGCAGGGAAAGCCACCCAGCTGGGACTTGCACCCCTATCACCAGGACCCTCACAGTTCTGGAAGATGGATTGAACCAGGCTCAATGGACAAAGGTGCAGAGAAGGGGTGCTAGGGCCTGAGAGTGGAAGGAAGTACAAGAGGTGTTGAGTGTCCAGGGTCACAGAACAAAGGGCATTCAGAAACTGGAGGGAAGAAGTCAGGAAACGCCTCCTTGAGAGGGGTACCAAGGCTATTCAGACAGGAGCTGGAGAATGGAGAAGAGCAAACATTAGCTCTGTGCCAGACTCTGCTGTGTTTAGAACTACAGCAATGAACAGCATCAATACAGTCCCTGCCTTTGGTCAGCTTACAACCTGGAGAGAGAAAGCAAGCAAAGTGATTACAAATGTGAGAAGGGCTTCAAAGGCAGCACTAATTATCTAGAGGGATTAGGAAAGCTAAACAGAAGCTGAAGGACAAGGAGGAGCCTCCTATACAGAGCTGGGGCAAAGCACTCTAGGCAGAAAAGTCAACATGTGCAAAGGCTCTGAGGCATACCAGAGATTGCCGTATTTGAACCGAAAGCAAGCAGTGTAACTAGAATGGAGTTAGCAAGGAGAAGAGCATCTTGGGATGAGGTAGCAGCAGCCAGAACAAGCAGGGCTGTGGCACAGGGGATTGATTTTACTTTAGGACCCATGGGAAGCTACGGGCAAAGTTTAAGCAGTTTGATTTCGTGTTGGCATGTGACAGAAATACAGACTCACTCCACAGTGCTGTCTGGCTGGGTGGAACCTTTTTTTTTTTTTTTTTTTTAATCGTGATTTGGGTGAAGATTTACAGAGCAAATTCACTTTCCATACAGCAGTTCACATACACTTTGTCTCATGACATTGACTACAATTTACCACAATGTAACAGCTCCCCTCCCACTTCCTCCCCATAATTACCTCTTCCCTGTGTCTATCC